TCTTATTAATTGATGTAAAGGTAAACTGAATAACGTGGGTTAGATTGTACAGTCTTTTAACCTAACTTTCCATTATAATTGATTTGTCATTATGACGTTATGATGGCAATATTATGTCAGTATGTTCGGTATAATTATTGTGGTAATGAGTAATGACGCCAACAGAAATTATTTATATATAATTTTAAAACAATACAATTTACAACAATTACTGTGTAACATAGGGCGACATCTACTTGACGGTTTCGGTGCAATAGTACGACACCCCTGAACTTTTATGAAATGCAACACAACGTACAAGGATTCTTATCACTTGTCGTCCGAGTAAATAGTCCCCTAGCTATAGTCCCCCAACTTCACACACGTTAATTTGAAAGCGTTGTTGTAAAAAACTCAAAATTTCAATTAAATTCTAATTCATGCCATAATAATATTATAAAATTAAAATTAATTAATTAAACTTACTGTAGGTACTTTTTAAATAATGTACCTGGACTTTTGGTTGTTATCTTTTTGTGAAGCTCTCGTATATAATTGCCACCTGTATTAAATGATACTACAGCAGTACAGCATTATATATTCTAGTGGTGTACGACTGTTTTTGAGAAAAATTAATTCGTTTACCGCCTATGTGCTTATTAATGACACTATTAAACTGTTCGCAGATGTTGTTATCAACATCAAGTAATAAACTTTTTGCATTATCAGCAACACGTCTAAGTGCAGTTGTCATTTCTTTCATCAAACCACTTTGCATTACTTCGTCGATCAAATTCAGTTCGTATAACTTTCTTCCAGTGCAAAAATATCGGGCACAATTAGAGTGTTTTCCAAATATATGGTATGGACTATTTAAAATATCCTTTCGCAAATTATATTCAATTTATAATATGTACCACTTTACCTGGTTGTGGCTTAGATTGTCTACATTGAATGATTTCTGTTAATTGTTATAAATGGTTTTTTGAGTACCTACCTATTTCTTTTTTTTATCATACCCAAATTGTTCGATAATTCAAGTAATACGGCCTATTTAAATAGTTTACAGCAAAACTACCTATTATAAAAGTTTTAGAGAAGAATTTTTTCAACAATTGAAATAAGCTCGATTTTTTATATTTTTATTAATAAGTTAAATAATTAATCGATAAAAAGTAAAAAAAAAAATGTTAATTTACCATTCGATATTGGACGATTGGAATACGATATCAAAAATCAGATTTATTACGATTGTTAAAAAAATTCTCCTCTATCACTTTTATAAAAGGTATTTTTACTGTAAACCGTATTAATTGAAGAACAAAAGTAGTTTTTATTTGTATAAAATTCGGATAAGAAGAGTTTGGCCTAGTGAACAAAATATGGTTTCGTAATTCAAGTAATACGGCTTATTGAAGCAGTTTACAGTAAAAATACCTATTATAAAAGTTGGAGAGAAGAATTTTTTTAATAATCGAAATAAGCCTGATTTTTTATATTTTTATAAATGAGTTAAATAGTTAATCGATAAAAAGTAAAAAAAAAAATTGTTAATTTATCATGCGATATTGGACGATTGGAATACGATATCAAAAATCGGATTCCTTACGATTGTTAAAAAAATTCTCCTCTACAATTTTTATAATAGGTTTTTTTATTGCAAACCGCTTCAATAAGCCGTATTACACTATTACCTACTTGAAAAACAAAAGCATAGTTTTTATTTGTATAAAATTCGGATACGAATACAAAATATAAAATCGAACCAAATTAAATATTATTTGTCACAAATATAATAATCATTTTCTTATCTGGTTATTTATAAACTATGCACGGGCGGTCGGCTGCGATAGAGAACCTGTTTTGACCACGGTGCGGTACCGCCGTTAATGCGCGCGGGGTGGTGGTATGCACAGCTAGTATCGAACGCTGCCACTGACTACGGGCGCAGCACTTGCCGAGCGTAATTTTCTGCAGTTTTCTTATAAAACATACTTTGCGCGTTCCAATAATATGGGTTACTGAGGGGTTTAATCGTAAAAACACCTATGAACAAAATTGTAGAGGAGAATTTTATCTGGTTCCGTAAGAAGCCCGATTTTTGATATCTTTAAAACATCATGAAATATATCATGATTAATAATACACTTTTTTTTCATTTTCCGGAAGTTAATTTTAGGACTTAGAAATGAAAATTTCAAAAATCGGGCTTCTTACGGAACCAGATAAATTCCCCTCTACAATTTTGTTCATAGGTGTTTTTATGATAAAACCACTCAGTAACCCATATTATTGGAACGCGCTAACATGTTTTTAAAGGAATTTTTCGAGTGATTTTTTTGGGTGACACGTCCTCTTAAGCTTCTGGTTACAATTTTTTTAAAAGCTGGAAATTAAATAAACATTTATAAGTATAAAGAAAATGCTTATGCATTAATACTTTTGGTAGTATTAGGTTTTTAGTTATTTTACTGTAACAAAAACATATATATTATAATACCTTGATCACTTTCATTTTCACAGTTATTATTATTTGGAGTGGAGCCATAAGATAGGCACCTAGGGCCTATGGCACCTTTCAGAACTTGTGTCACGAGTAACTTTTAATTTCTTGTTACTAACAAACTCCTGTTCTTCATCAATTTCTGAATTTGATCTTGAAATATTTTTTTTACTAGTGTTAGATTCAACAGAGTTTGATGGACTATTATTGGCGAATAGTTCATCAGTTTGGGATAATGATGATGCATCTGGATAACATGAATTGCCTGAATTTTCTTCATCTTCAGATTCTAAAATGCATACATTTTACGTTTTAATGACTTTACATTGAATACGAGAATATATAAAATTACAATAATAGGAATACTACATTTTTTAATAACACATAATATCACTATAATTAATACATTAAAATGCTATAATTAAATTAGATACATACCTATTTACATTATTGAATGAATTAACTGATTTTAACTTTAAAAACCGGTTTTATGAAATTTAATATTATTAAAGGAACCTATGATAATACATTATATTATTAAATAGCTATTATAGTTACCATCAGAAGAAACCGTTGGAAGTTTAGGAACAATGAATTCCTTAGATGAACCAGCAATTGACCGTTGAATACTTTTGTTTCGATTTTTTTTATTTTCTTCAAACACATAAATTTCATTTGAAGAAACCTCGGAATTATCTTTAGCAAATGAACGGGCATCAATAAGACTGCCTAAAAAAAGTTCAAATCATAATCATATAGTTAATAAAATTATTTAAATCAACAAATTTCAATAAAATAAATAAGTATTTTATTTCATACTTATGTTATTTTTAATAATTTTTGATTTTAAGTATTGAAAATCCACTTCGTTTGGTTTTATGCGTCGCTCTATACATTTTCTCGGTGATTTTTTGGGCCATGCGCATACTCCTCTCTCAAACCAAAATTGAGGTACAGCTGCTATACTGTTGTCTTCGAAGCAAACAACAGTCCACATTTTACTAAAACAACCATTCTAAAATTAATTTTGAAAATACAATCAAATAATTTATTCATACATAGTGTATAGCAACATATATTAAAAACGTCCTATTATTTACCATTTATGGTTTTAAATGTTTTCTTTAAGTTACAATTACAGCCAACATTAGCAACAACAGTTCAATACTGTATACCAGCTATACCTAATTGAAGCCAATAGCTAATAGCTTGTATTAATTTCTTACATATATAATTATTTACTTATTATGTACCTAAGTATATACTTAAGTATCTTACATTTTTTCAAATACAGGTAATTCTATAATCTTAAAATCTAAAAATTAAGAATCAAATGAATAAACAATTTATTTGATTGAATATAAAACTATGAAACTATAAAACATATTAAAATAAAAATATTTTGTCAAATTTAAGAGTGAACATTTTTTACAGACTTAATTTTTGCTAAACAAAAATAATATTTATCTTAATAATGGTATGGCTATAAGTTCATTTTCTATTTCAAAAACAACCATTTTAGTTTTAATATCCGGTATTTTCCATAATTTATTATTTTCACTTAAATTTTTAATTTTGTATATATTAAGTTTTGAAGAACATATATGCTTTAAAAAAAAATCTATTTTATTTTCAAATTTCTGACCAACCATGGTGTCAGTTTTTGAACTAATTTTAGTAATACGAACAATATCTTCACTATTTGAAAGGAAAAAACAATCGGGGTCATTAACTCTAAATGTGAATTGCGAGGGTTCAATAACTTCAATATTTTCATTATTGCAACGCTCTTCGTATCGTCTAACAATTTGCTGCAATGGTGTTTCATGCTTCCGAAGCATTCCCTTTCATTCCTTCATATAGTTTTCAAAGGTGAAGGCGCTACAATTATCAAGTGGTCCATGCAGATGATAGTCATCAACTAAGTGAAGTAAACCATGGATATTATGGGATATAAAGTGACATCCATATATTTGTTGAAATCGCTCTACAAAGTACTCCAAAAGTTTTTGGGCATAACATAAATATTTAGAACTTTGTTCGGAAATCAAAAGAATTCTTAAAGCTACACTAAATACTATGAAATGTTGATAGCAGTCATCAGGGAGAATATTTTTTAATACTATAGGACCAGTATACAGAATAAACTGACGAAATTCTGTTGCCTTATATCGTTTAAATTCTTCAATTGCTCTTGGCTTTCGTGCAAAATCATTTGTTATACATTTTTTTATCTTATTAAGTGAAGATGTTATGTTTTTTTTTATTTTCCAGCTTGGTAAACGAACATTGGTTGGCCCTGTATTTAACCAGAGACTTATTAATTTTTTTGTGACCCCTAAACAAACTAAATGCATATAGTCAAGAGGAAATAAATGTACAATATCAGTATCTGGTATTAATGCAACACATGATATGGTAGATGATATGTGGTGCTCTTCATACTTCATTTGTACATAGTCTTGATGTAATCTTTTCATACTTCCATTTTTGTCGTAAGGAAAACAAACATGGTTGTTTATGTAATCACCTTCTTGTACACAGCGTGTACATGAAAAAAAACAGAATGACCCTTTACACGTAGTACGAACGATTTCGCTGGTGCATCACAGCACATTAGTTCAATTTTAACTTTTTTTACTTCATTATTAATAACGATCCCATTCATTGATAAATCTATGATTTCTGTAATGAAGTTTAAAAGGAAATCGTTACTATCTTGTAGTTTTTCATTTCCATAGTATATTCCTACTGGAAAAATATATTTTCGGTAAGGAATAATATATCCCAAAATTGGCCATAACTGACCTGAACTACTCTTTGATATTGGAAGCCCATCTATACCAATAGCAATCTTTATTTGTTCATTAGTATACAAAATCGATGAATATCTTTGGATACCTTTTTTTATGCCAAAGTGGTAGTATATTCCTGGTTTTACTTCTCTTATATTGAAAACCTTTGTAGATGTTGATTTTAATAATGTTCGACAATCTTTTGGTAGGTATGTAAGTTGTGCTTTATATTTTAAGACACTCAAAAGCCTGTTTACTGTGCTTTGAGGAACATTACAATCATCAGCCCACTGACCAAGAGATTTTTTGATGTCATCTTTATTAACATATAAAACTGCATTGCTATAATTCATTTCATTAGGAATAATATAATTTATTGAAGTATTTGAAGGCAAATCCTTATAACACAATGCACCGTTTTCTCTTGCATCTTCTGGAGGGATCTTTTTTGAGGAATTCAAATTATTGGAAGCAAAATTATCAATTTCACTTTTATTGAAAGTAATAATTTCTTGGGTCGTTTCTTGAATTGGAGAAATATTAAATTGAGGTTCTAAACTATTTGACAAATTTACATCAAGTAAATTTTCTAATATTTCCATCTCTTGTTGTATTTTTCTCCGCTTTGTTCAACAACTGCTAGCTGCTTTCATTTTATGTACTTAGTTAAATATTTGAAAGCCTATAATATATAATTTTACTAGGTATATAATATATAATTATACTATATAATAAATAATTACTATTCATACATAATATATTTAATTTTGTAATTTAAGAAATATAAACTATGTTACTGGTAGTATGAATATTCAAGTATAATGTTTTATAATACCAAAGCAATGGAATACTTTATGATCAATAGAGATGAAACAAAAATATATATGAAAAAGAGAGAGATAAGTACATATATAATTAAAATATAATAAGCTATAGTCTTATTAAACAAATAAAATAAATATAATACAAATTTAATAATTATATATAAATAACCTAGGAATAGATAATACAAATTTAATACAAGATTCAAATTCTTATTAATATTTTTAATAATACAAAATGGTTTTTTTATACCTGTGTATAATATACCTATAGGCAGAATAACAATTAATTAAGAATACATAGATTTTACCTTAATTAATTGTTATTTTGCTTTATTTTCATTTTCCCTATCAATTTATTGTGGTATGGATTGTGTTTTTTACATTTGCCTCAATAATTCTACATTACTAAATATTTTAGGGCAAATGTAAAAACTCACATAAGAACAGTTTGAAGAAATAATTAATATATACTGATGATTCATTTACTTTTCCCCATTCTTTTATTTTCTAAATTGTAATGGGCATATGTAAATTTAAAATTGTAAACTGGATAATGTTTTTATACTAAATATAACCCTAAAATATGGTTGCTTAAAACTTTTACATATAATTACATTGCAAGATATGTGTAGAACACATTATATATGTGTGAGTGTTAATGTAAGTAAACATGTCAAAACCGTTTACATTTACCCCAGTTGATCTAAAAGAATTATGACATCATTTTTATAAAAACAGGATTAAAATATTTCACTAATTAGAAAAACTGTTAATTATTTAATATTTATATATTTTAGCATTTATGCCTGTATGTATTTATTTGGTGAATATGTATAATAATGTAAAGAACTAATGGAACTTACAACGGGACACAACGGGACTTTTGGGTTTAAAAATTGCAACTTAAACTACCTATATAAGTAACCATGACCGTTTATGTTATAACATAAAATATTATGCATAGTACCTACCTATACCTACCTACCTATATATTATAGTTGGTAATATTCGTATTATTTGGTAACTTGATATTTTTAATTTTGTATTCAATTATTTTATTAAAAAAAATCATAAATTAGTAGATGTGTTAATATACAATAAGAAATAAATGTATTTATTTGTACTGCCTACTATAATGAGTAAAATAGTAAAGTACAAGTAGGTACAATTTTATGAGTAAAAATAATCACATTTTGACAGTTGATTTTTTTGTACATAATTATACACCTTTGTATATATATATTTGTACATATTTTTTATTATATGAGTATATAGATCTATATATAAAACAACTCGAGTTGTTAGTTGTTACCTAATCAACGAAGAAGTCCACACAGTGGTGGGAAGTTTATTAGCAGGTTTGGACCACCGTTCTAGGGGTGTGTCATGTGGTAGGAAAAATCCAAATTCAACGAGCCACGGAACAATATTAATTAGCCAATTCAAGACTTTTAATTTTGACAGTGAAAAAAACACCATGTCAGTGTATAGAGTTAACAAGCATTTGGATTTGGGCCATGAGTTTTCATATTAATTTAAAAACTGCAGTTCAAATTACCGATAGAATATTATAGTATAATAGACCACTTCCTATATATTTTTAATTTTGGCCGGATAAAGTGTGGGAAATGAATATATTAATTTTATTATTAAGACGTGTAATTTAAAATATAGTACCTTAAGTGTTACGTATGTAAATGATATGACTTACGTGTTTTAATTAGACGGAGCTTCAATATTAATAATATATAAAATATATTATTGAATCTTCAACTTCCAGCTTGACGGCAGTCGATAGACAAGTTCGATTAATCGGTTAGGACTTATGATAAAACGTGGCTAAATCACATGGCATAAATAATGCGGTATGAAATAAATCGTAATTCGTACCTATGCTACAGTCAACGAAAAATTAAAATAAGTAATATATTACGACAATAAGAGTATTACGGCTGTTACAAACAAGTTTAGTCATGGGCGGGAGTGAGATAGTTAATAGTTACAGATCTTTCCGACAATCTATGCCTCTTGCCTCTCGCTCTAACGACGGCTATAATTAAGGCACTATAAATGTGGGTATAATCGTCCGCCATTTTGCGACAAATGATTACCAGTTATCACTGTTTCAAACATACGGAATAGTTGAGAATACAGATTACATATACGTTTTGTTTTAAGTTAAACTAAAAAATCTATATGGTTTCAACTATAAACCTATAAACCAAGTAATTAACCCTTAAACTATTAAATTCTGAAATATAATATAGTTTTTAATTCTCAAGTGAATATAAGTTATAACTATAAAATACTACCAAAGATGGGCGGTTGTACTGCTGTAAATTGTTCCAATACACGTAGCAAAGGTTTTCGTCTTTTTCGGTTTCCAAGAGACCTTAAAGGCGAAAAACTTGGTTACAAAATTGTCGCCTTGACAAATGGCAGCCTACAAATTATTCCGAGTTGTGTGAAGTAAGTATTAGATCATAATTTTTTAATACAATTTAGTCATGTTAATATTTTTTGTCGTTTCCTTCAGAATATAGGCATTAGATATAAATATCGTAATATAATAAAATATAATTTTATATCTTATGCATATTCCAATAGATCCATTTTGAAAAAGGGCAATTTGAACAACATTGTCAGGATGGCTTAAAAAAACTTAAGCCAAATGCTGTACCAACCCTGTTCGATATACCGAATCCACCGCACTTGTTGGAAACCAAAAGAAAATCTTTGTATGAGGTATATATCATTATTAAACCAAATTTATTATAGTTAAAAATTTGCTTTTGTTGGGTACTTAAATTATATATACAAATATAC